CTATAATTATTTTGCAATTACTACCTTTTCCTTCAAGAGTTCTTCTCATGCTTCCTGCCTAGCGGTGCTCTTTCTGAATTTATATGCTGCGATATGGCCCCAGCAGGTTACCAAGATCCTGTATTGGACACAGATCTAAAATTGGTGAATACTCCCAATTCAAATGATAAGAACACCTCCTGTGGTCATTTGGCTTTCATGATTACAGAGGCTTTGAGGGCCATTGAAGCAACTGCTCACCTCAGCAGTCTATTGTATGAATCTGAACCTCAGGGCTGTCCCGCAAAAGCCGCTTTCCTGCTAATTAGTTGTCACTGCGCTGAGATGGAACCAAAACAGAAAAACTACATCTACAAAGCCAGATCATTGCTTAATGATATATCTGCTTTTGTGGTGCAAAGACAGCAATATACTGTACATAAAACTTTTTCCATGGCAGCCCTGTTTCTCCATGCTAGGCTAACTGTTAAACCAGCTTCGGGTAACTGGGCCAAAATGTTGAAGATGTGTTTTACTTTTATAGAGGAAAATGCCAGTGGATCCATGCGAAGGGCTACAAGCCACAGTCTCCTAAACTTTTTATATTTTATCCATTCATCGTCCTGTCTTTCCTTACACTCTCGACTACTGACAGTGTGTAAGTATTATTGATGGGAATACAAAAGTCATACGATAAGCTGAAAAAAAAAAACTTCCTTGAAGAGACCTGAAATCCCTCATTGTGTAAAGGACAGACACAGAATAACCGGAAAACAAAAGAGCACAAACACAAAGCTGTTATGAATGTGTTGCGTTTAGAGTCACTGGCTGGAGGAGGACGTTAGTAACAAAAGAGATTATGAGCCACATGCAGTACGTCGCGCCAGGCTGGTTGGCTAGAGAGTCCAATAAGCGGGCTAAATGAGTCCTTGACACCGGCCAGGAAACAATTCCAGACTTCTTTTTTTTTTTCCTTGCTGTAAGTGCTGATGCAGTGAGGTCAGACAATACACTATCATGGGACTGTTTACAGCTATGACACTGGATTGAGATTGGAGTCGTGACATGGCCTTGGACCACACTAACAAAATACTGCACTGTATTACTGAAGTGCTAGGTGAGAATGGGGACCTTTGCTCAAAATGATGAGAAGGAAGGTGTCCCACCATTTAATGGTATTTTCCATTATAAAGATTTATTACTAGTCTCAATTTGTTTTGTCATCTAGTGTTCTCCCGTGTAACTTCACTTTGGCCTGTGATTAACTTGTGATTAGCAGATGCAGCCAGGGCCCTTCCCTGTACGGTCATTATAGACAACACTCAGCAAGATGGTCCACACTTAGACTTGTAATTCCCCATTAGCCAAAGGACCAAAAAAAACTTGAACCTGAACTTTATCATTACACAGAAACGTTGTGGCCCCCAGTATCTGCCAGATCCCTTATAAGACCTCTGCGTGATTTAAAAAAAACTCTCCTTTTTTCCCCTCCATTTATCCAATTTGCATTTTCAAGTGTTTTACACTTATTGCCCACAGTAACTCAACACTGAGAGTAAGGTGTTGACTGAAGTCATTTGGAAGCTGTAGTTCGCAGTAATGTTGAGTTGTATAGTCTTATTTTAAGGAGTATTTCCAATATTAATATACCCACATTTTTTTAGGCTGTGGTCATGATATTAGAAACCTTATTAACTACTGTATGGCTAACACTATCTTAATACCATGAAGACAATACGAATCTTCACGAACATGAATGGCAGTAGAAAAGCCTCCAACTGTACTTGACTAGCAGGACCCAGACTGTCTTTAAAACTCATTTTCTCCCTGCTTAAGCCACACTGTGATGCTCCAGCCGGTAATGCTTAGAGGAGCAGGTGGTCACAGCAGACAGCGTGCTGAGCCATGCTGAAGACTCACCCACCGCCTTGCTCACCCCCCTCCGCCCTCATCTTTCCTACCATCCTTTTCTTTTCAAATCATTAATCCGACCACTCATCCTCTCCGACTTGGCTTTATTTCTCTGTCACTTCCTGCCTTCTTTCCTTTTCTCTCTCTCTCTCTCCCTCCATCTGCATGTCCCCACAGATGGTGACAGCCAAAGAGTCTGACATCCAAAGATGCACAGCAGGGTGTGCCACCCCTCCCCCGGTTCTCCTCCTCAGGCTCTGTTGTTCCTGCAGCACATTCACCCACACCAAACTAAACGCAGCTGAACGCACTTAAGAAGTCACAAGGATTTAATGATCACTGTCCTTGTGCGTTTGTGTGTCGGGGAAAGGAAGCGTGCAGAGCCTTTCAAGACATGCAGACCATCGCTCTGACTGACTGATCTGTTGTAGAGTACTTGATAGAGCAGTAAAAACCATTGATGCCCATACAAAAGTCAATCTGTACTAAAACCAAAACGCCCAAAATTGCTACCAGTAGTAAAAGTAGAAGTTTATTGACTTTATTCTAATCCCTAAACAGATTAAATATGAATTAAAATCTGCTCCGGTTAAACTGTGACAGCCCTGGGAATAAAACCACACAGCGCAAAAAGATACCTGCAGTGAGTATGACATGACTAAATCCTCTCCGATTACCTTAAACACAAGGATTAGTTTCCAGAGAAAAAAAAATCCTCCCATAAGTCTAAGTGACAGCGCTACACTTTGTGGGCAGAAGGACCTGAGTGAGATGCTGTAAAACAAGAACACAGCGATTTCTCCATTCACTGGCAAAGAAAATGGATATTTCATTCTCTCTTAGTCAACTTGAAAATTGGTGGCATTAAATATATGTTTTGGTCTCTTGTCTGGTTCCTGGAGTCCCCTCAGGAGAAACTTTGTGGAATGTACTTCAGGAAGCAATTCCGGTGAATATCAAGTTTACAACGACACCACTTGTGCATCCTCTGAGATTTTTGTTGCATTGGTCTGGTGAGAATGTATAAACCAGGCACAATGTAGCCATTGTCACACAACCTGCGTTTGTTTCTACTGCACCTGTGCTATCTTTTCCACTAAAGCAGTGGGGCAGAAGGACCAACCGCTGTCTCGCTAGATTATTTTCTCTAAGAAATGAGAGCTTAGAAATGATTTGCAGCTCTGGAGGGCTGGGGTGGGGACGGTCTCGTTCACTACTGCGCCAACTCTCCTCTATTCATTTAATGATAATGACTTTGAAAAGTCATTACATGTAATTGTGACCATCATCGTGACCAATCATTATTAGTGCCACTTTTCCCATTATTGTCTGTACCACAAGTGAAGTGCACTCGCCTACCAAACATAAGTGCATAAAAATTACGCTTGTCCTGGTATCCAAAGCAAAGTCACCTTTTCACTGACACATATCCAAAATGCTCTGCTTTGTATAACACACAAGCGGAACCCAGAACCAAAGCCTGACAGGTTCTTAAAAGTTCAGGTTATGGATCCTAGAGTAGAAAAAAAGAGCTATGCAACTGGTTAGTCGACCCATAAGGTCCTCTTACTTTGATGCAGCAATGTTTGATGCTTCCTGATGTTCACCTCAGATAAAGCATTATCTGTTAGCTATGAAACTAGTGTGTGAATACTGAGGCAAGTCTGTGATGTGTGAGATGCCATGAGTGTGGAAAGGAGCACATTTCAGTTTCAGAACTGATAGGATAAGTTATAAATCTGAAATGAATATCAAACATTCAGGCAAAAACTGTATGCAGTAAAATGAGGAAACATATGCTTTTCTTCAATAGTGTTATAGCTTCAATTTGTACGTTAGTACGACATTGCAGATTACATTTGGGACTTTCTGGTGTATACCTTTTGAGAGGAGACCTGTATGATCAAAAACCACTTGCGCTACAGCCATGTTGGTCTCATGTAATTAAATGTGCAGAATTTTCAAAAACAGCCTCCCAAAGCGCTGATACCCCATAGGATTTGTCATTTTACCACTGGTTGTTCTTTGTTCCATTTTTGTGTCTTGTATCTCAATCCGGAACTTAATTCTCCAAACACATTAATAACAGTTATTGATCCATGTAGGGGAACACTGAAAGCCCACAGTGGAGGAACAAACTGCACAATAAAAGAAGGTGGTGGGGATTTAGGTCTCAGTTGTAATGAATCAATGGCACAATGTGCAGTCAAGAATGTGAGGTGCAACGTACACAGGCGCCATACAGACTATGTGACTGTATTAGGGGCAGCTGTGGCTCAAGGAAGTAGAGGGGGTTACCAGTTAATCAAAAGATTGGCGGTTCAATCCCCTCCCCTCCTCCGGCATGGTGAAGTGTCCTTGGGCAAGATACCTGGTGGCTGTTCCACCACTCTATGTGTGTGAATGCAGTTAAAAAGTGCTTCGAGTGGTCTCAAAGACTAGAAAGGCACATATAGAGAGCATTTACATATTAGCCCAGCAGTAGGCTTTGTAATAACTTGATGAGGACATTTTAGTAGGGAAGATGCTTGCTATCACAGTCACTTAAACCTTGTCCTTCCATTATAGGATGGCCTTTTATACTCACTCACTCACTCGGCCTGCTGTCCTAATACAGAAAACTCTTTGTTTTAAAAGAGTTTTGGCCTATCAGTAATGTCAGAAATTTGTACAGCTAAACAGAGAGCTGGACTTGCAATTATTAATTTAAGAATTGTGTCCAGAGTTCAAGCGTGAGGCAATGAAAGGAAACACTTAGATAGAAATTAAGAAGGAATTCTGGTTTGATTCCAAGATGTTTTCGGCATAATTTGTTATATGTCCTAGAGCAGGAAGGCCCTTTTAGTACAACAGTGAGAGAAACAGCAGACAAAAACTGGTTTAGCAGGTTACAAGAACACTTGAAATCTGCCGATAACAAACTAAAAGGTTTTGTCAGTTTTAATAAGGGTTTTACAAAATACATGTGAAAATACATAGATGTGATTTGATTGATGTGCGGTGGGGGTTGTGCACAGCTTCCCTGAAGAGTATGCTGTGTGCTCTAAAAAACCAAAGCATGTTACATTTGTTTCTCATGGTTAGACGTTGCTTAAACATAACTGACTCACCAGCGGTGAAGTCCTTGTTGAGGTCAATGAAAGCGTTAGAGTGAGGGATGCGCATGTTGACAGGTAAACTCAGTGCCTTGTGACACACTGGAATCCTAAATGGGAGAAAAACCATGAGACGACAGTGAGATTCAAACACTCTTTTAGAACATTTTAGAAAGTAATTCACTGTATAAGAGCATTAGAAATAAAAATAGGGAATTCTAAGGGTTTGAGAAGATTACATTACCTGTTGGTGAGATAGCAGACTTCGGTGGAATGGGGTTCGGGGACTCCAAAAATGTCTGGGATCATGTCCCCATTGAAACTGAGGGGAGATTTTTTTTTTGTCAATGAAATGAAATTACTTCATTAAACACACTGGGGTAACAGCAGGGATAGGCAGTATTTAAGATGTATTTAAAATACGTAAAATACAAAATGGCTTCATATTTTGTAACAAAATACTCTAGTGTTTTGTATTTTGCAGTTCTAAAATACTGTAAAATACTTTGTGAGAAGTCTATGTGATGATGATCATTAAAATGCTGCCTCTGATTGGTGCCTACTGTAATTTGCCCAGAACAAGAAAATTGATCCAGACTCCAAGGTGAGTCACAGTCAAGGTGAAAAACGTGTAGGTTTCCACCGCTCTCATTCTTTTCTCTATTTTTTAGCATATATGGCTACAATTCTTAACAGTTCCTGTTAAGTTTTGGTGTTCTTTTTAGTAGCCTAGGCTAAATCCTTTATCAGCGAACAATTTCACAGTTAAAGTTAGTTTGCAACTTCCAGTCTATGTTAAGTTTTCAACTGTTGTGCACTAAAAAACATTATGTGTGTTTCAGAGTTGAGCAAAGTGTTAGCTAACATTAAACTGTTGGTTTCTGGGGGATCACAGTGAAATGTGAATATTTGATTGGTTAACTGGTTGACTGTCAGATTTATTGCTTGACTCATTCGGCAGAGAAAAGCTTTTGCTCTCATTGTCCACTTAATCTGCCGAGTCAGTGTACTGGTGAAGGCACAGAATAGGCCAATAGAGGTTTGCAAAGTGATTTTGTGTATCTTGAAAAATTAATTTTTTGTATTTTTGAAATACATAAATACAGTAGTTCATTTTGATTCATGGCGTGGTTGCTGTACTTGAAATTAGGGTAATTGGTATTTTATTTTAAAATACAGTTTTAATGTATTTTTGCCCATCCCTGGGTAACAGTGTATCAGGTACATACTGTGCAATAAATATCATGTTCAGTTTTATCGATACAGTCAGTGTAGGTCCACTTCTAAGGTCATTTTTTAGGACATAGTCAGTAGTGGTTGTCCACATCAGTGTCCATAAATAAGGGGGGAGGGGGGCGTTATTATGCATTATGCTGGCATCTTGAATCTTATTTAAGACGGGATATATAATATATAACAATAAAAAACTAATCATACGTGTGTTTTGACATGGTATAATATTTAAAATACATGTTTAATTGGAAACATTCAAATCTAGCTAAACTAAACTCCATGAGGCGCATTACTTTTACTTTCGATGACCAGCATTATAAGAAAACTATTCAAATAAGAGTTTATGTGAACACTATTGAGATTGATACTTACTCCATAACAAGAGGTTGATCTATAAAGGTCTTGTTCAGCTTGAGGCTCCCACTTATATCTGCAGAAAATGAACAGTTGGTACTTCGTTCTAATGTCAACAACTATGAACAAAGTTAAATTAAATGAAAATAAATAATAAATCAATCCCCGGCTGATGAGCTTCTACTAGAGCTGTACCTAATGTCTGGTTGTGCCCCCAGAAGATGTAAACAGTTGTTGGCTCGGACTTGATCTCAGTAGTAAGAAGGACATCCATCTGAGAGTCTCCATCATAGTCTCCGGGAACCACACTGGTGATGATGGTGCCCCTGAACAGAAAGATTGCCCATTAAAATAAGAGCCAATGACATGGTGCTCCTGCTTTTTGCTCTGCCCTTACATGTAACTATTCCCTCCTAAAGAACAAACAAAACCACCCTGCAACGTGAGTCACCTCCTCAGTGCTGACGAACAAAAGGAAAATTGGGACATCACATGTCACAAATATGAAAACAGCACTGAAAGTCACGCATACCTTGGAAAAGTGTCCTTAGTGATGTGAACTTTGGGCTTGAAGTAAGGTGTTTTCAAGTCAGCCATGAATATCACCACTTCCGACTCTGAAACAGTAAGAAGTTAACATAGATAACAATGCTAAATCAATTACAGCTCATTTAATCTCCACCACAGTCTTCAGCCGTTTTCAAAAAGATAATGCAAATGAAACAGAACCACAGAAGCATATTTTTAGACAAGCAGTAGGCCAACTTATAGGTAAATCTTTATAGAAATATAGCGGTGAATGTTCGTCAGGGTAACTTTACAGTTGGATCCGTTATTATCGCGACATTCCTTAATTAAAAATTAGCACTACATATTTTTAAGACACTGACGACACGCATAATTTGTGCAAGCAGTAAACGTTAATTAGCTAACAGGGAAGAGTACTGAAGCATTAACATACGCTCTCGGATGATAAAGATGTCGGTCTGTTTATCCGAGTAAAAATCTCCAAACGCTGCCACCGTCCCATAATTTTCGGCACCGAAAAGATCGGCTGTTACATCCTGAAGCGCAAATGTGCTATACCGCCCCACAAAAAATAAAGAAAATGCCAAAATATTAAATCTGAATATCCTCATCCTTCTGCTAGCTAGTGCAACTCACAACAACACTAACTGCAATACGGCATACAGCTTTATGGCAGGGTGAAATAGCAGCTTCTTTTGATTAAAAAGACGCGTTACATTAAATATCAATTTTAAATTTAGTTATCTGAGCTGCTATTTAGACACAGGTGGAAGGAATGCATTGCAATAAAGGTAAGAAATGCAATATTAGCGTTTCCTTGTTTACGTCAGTGTCGTGATCACGGGTGTTTTGACAGGTGACAGTTGTGTCAATTTATTGAGAGTTAGCTAGGTCTAAATCGGAAGTGAAGTAAGTTTACCTTCAGAATAAATGTGTATAACGTTCACCAAGCTGGAAAATGGGAGAGTGAACACATTATAACTAATAATATACGAAATACATACTCATTAATATTTGGTTGCCAAACTGTGATTAATTGTCTTTTAAAAGGCTCATGACGATGGCTAGACAGGGAGGCGCACGGCCTCTCTTTTATTTTGAATGAGGACACCGGAAATCCTTTAACTTTCGAGCAAATGTGACACAGTGTAAACATGGCGAGCCTGGCAGAAGTCGGATGGAAACTCCTGGAATTCAAAGCGCGATCAAAAAGATCAGGTCTGACTTATTACTTTGCACGACATCGTACAGTGTGCCACGCCCGAATGTTTCTGTTGTGCCCGTGCTTGTGTGAGACTGTCTGTTTGTAAAGCCACTGAACACGGGGGTTAGATTTGACTTGGATCTGCCCATTTAATTTGTCCACTGCAGTGACTGTAGAAGCATGAAAGGTCAGAGGTGTAAATGTGCAGCACTCAGGGGCTATTTTAAGGGCTTCTCACCAGGTCTGCTTTCGCTGTTACATCTCCCCCGTAGTTAACTGTACTGTGCGCGCTGCATGAGCATAGACTGTATAAAACAGTGCATGAGGCTTGAATAGAGGGCCTGTGGAAGCTGGCAGACTGTGCCATTCTTGTAATTAGCCAGCCTGGAACTCGAGGGAAATTGATATGATTATAAAACTCAGACAGCTGTTATAAAAAGTAAGGATAGAAACGTCACAGCGGTTATTTGTCACCACATGTAGGAGCACCATTATTTTTAGTGATACAAATGAGAACCATGATCAGGTCTTTCCCAACCCTCTCACTTTGGGGTACCACCCACATATGGGTACCACAGACACGTGATCTTAAACGTAGTCAGCTATTGGACCTCTATTTTCAGGTTGTAACTTTTTGTTCTAGGTATAGATTTCATAAAATAGCACCTCCATAGAGACTCTAGTGGTGTAATAATAACTGCTACAAGGCAGCTTGCAAAGAGAATTGAAGGGCAATCTTACAGCAAATATTATGCCTTTTCTATTAAAAAAAGGCTCATGCGTTCTCCTAGTTTTCTTTTGACAGATTATTAACTCAGTAGTATGCCTGAAGCATTCGTAGATCCATAGCATTTTGAAGTGAATGTTATGGCGCATAATATGCAACGACAAGTCAAGTAGTGTCCCAGTTTAGTTTTGTAGTCATTCTGCTGAAGTCCTTCTCATCATTCCATTACCATCATATAGCAATTCCTCATGACTCTGTATCTCTCAAGAGTTGAAATAATTTGCAATCCTAAGCACATACAATGCACTGTAAGTCCTTGCATGTTGTTCATGATTATCATTACATCACGGTGTAATTCATTGATTCATGCATGTCGAAATCTAAGTGTGTGCTGCTAACTCCTGCTTGTGAATTGCTGTAGATTTGTGATTTAGCTGAGAGAGAGAGACGATTGGCCTTAATTTCAACTTTTGAGAATGGCCGAGTCAGTGGCTGCGATTACCCGGCCTCATCGGAAAGTTCTCAGACTTGGTAAGTAGTGGCGGCAGATCAGAGAAAAAACAATGCCAATGTCAGCCACACACAGAAGGCCAGCGAGGACACGGGTAAAGACAATCATTTTGTCATCTGAATGTGAGAAGCTTGTTATAGTCACATAACTAACATAAATATTTCATGTTGTGAACCAGAAAGCACAAATAGGCTTATTTCCTCTCCATTTTCTCATCGCCTTGAAATAAATAGTTTGTGACGTCTGTATCTTTATCCATTTTTTCATACCCGTTGCTTTATTTCCTGAGTATGATGCAGCCAACTATGTCCAGATCAAAGCAGGATTATTTTCTGATAGGAGAAAGTATGTTTCACGCTTTAGCACTCTTGGGCTGATGTGGCAAAGTAGTGTCATATTACCCATAATCTACTGTGAGCTTATACTGATGTAAGCTATGCGAATAAGCCACCAGTTAGCATAAAAGACCAGTAATAATGAAGTCATATAGCCTACGGCATCTACAATAGTGTTTGAGGTCTGTATGACTGAAGTTAGTCATGGGACTGTTTAAAACTACCAAACAACGACTGCCCACAAATGTCTGATCTCATGTTAGAAATTAAAGTAGGAATATTGGACTTCCTCTATGCTCTTTTAGAGTGTTATCTTTAAAAAGAGATGGATTGGCTTTGTCCCCGGCAACTTTTAAGATGATGGAAATTATGCTAATTTCAGCCAGAATGTGAATTTTTCAGTACCTGTGGTATTGACCCAAGGTCGAACCTATTAAAATGCAAATCTCAGCAAAGTGAAAAGTGTCTGAAAATGGAGAAAGTCTAACAGATAGGAGTTTCCCTCAAACTCTCTCAGCTCAGAGGAAAATGTTAGGAAATATCTGGTGACGAGCCACATAACCATTTGAATTTGTAGCTTTGGGTCTGAATTTTGTTTTGTGTGCTGAGCCCTTTGTGATGTTCGGTGTTGCAGTACGAAAAACAGAATTTACAGATGGCATGTGTCTATTGTTTTTTTTAATTTTCTCTGCTTCTTATTTTCTCATGAGTAATTGTAAAAAAGAACATTTAATGATAAAATAAAGCTAATGACAAGATATTTGTAGACCTTTTTCATCTACATATTGGACTGAATGAAATAAGACTATTGTCTTCAATATTGAAAATACTGAAAAATCACCAAGTAACTCTAAGATGATTTTTTTTTACCTTACCCTGCCACCAGTTAAGTCATTAAGGCATAATGTTATTGAAGGTGAGGAGACAGGATTGAGACTCACTTTTAAAGATTTAGTCAGGATTCATGAGACAACTAAGGCATGAATTTTGGAAAAAGATGTTGTAGGTCAAAATTTTAAAACGGTAAGACTTGTAAAGTTTGTGTGTAACAGATGTGTCCTTCATCAGGTTCCATCTATGAACCTCTCAAGCTGTCCACACTCCCGCGTGAGGATGAGCCCCTATGGGAGAAGCTGGACCGCTACTACAGTGCTGGTAAGTACACGTATTCACTGTTGACAATCTGACAATAGTATGAGCCAGGGATGACCTAAAATTTAGAGCTGTAGGTATATAATGCAAAGCTATTCCTTGGGAATAGTGATTACATCTTGCACACATTCAGTTTTGTTCAGAGGAAAAATTGTTCTCGGCTGGCAAGACAAAAGTGAGGCGTGGGGATCCCCGGATGTTACAGAAATAGAAAAACAACACAACCATCATGCACTGACCTGAATTCAATGCTACGCAACAGTACCCTGGCCTGGCCTGGCTTGGCCCTGCACTCGACTCTGGTAGCGTTTGTGTGTGGGAAGCCAGTGAGGGATCATGTCAGAGTTGCTGCACTCGATAATCTTACTGGTATCAGGGTTTTTTCAACAAGGATAGGAAGGTGGAGACACACATGAACCTTTGCCTGCATTATGACCTGGTCACAGCGGATACTGACAGAGAAGCTCATGACCTGTTTAAATTGAGTGTAAGCAGTAGGCAATTTGAGCAAAATGACCAAAAAGCATCCCCCTTGTTAACCTGCCACCCCCACTCTCCATTCCCTAGTGGAAAAGAGAGGGCAGGGGCAGAGGGCTTGTTTAGTAGTTAGAATATGTCTGCCTAAATCATTGATCCTCCATGAGGTTTGAGGACTGAGGTTTGTGCAAGTTCGAATCTCCGACCATGGCTCTGAAATATCAGGTAACTGTGTATTGATAAATCCGTGGTGCAGAAGGAGCGGAGGGATTTGTAATTGCGATTTTATTTCTCCAAGTCAGTTTTGTCTTGGATCTCTCATTTATATACTATAAAAACTCATTTCTGTCTACCTATAGAGTAGTGTCACCTTCATGATTAAAGTGACAGGTAGCAATGTGTAGCTACGGATCATAGAGACACACAGCTGCCTGTTGAAATCCTGTAATATTCCTGGAATATTGCAATGATCATTCAGTAGCGCCTGTGCTGCTGAAAATACATCCCCAGACCAAGCCAGCTCTGTAACAAAATAATTTAGGGGAGACGTGACTTCAGATATAGGTTTTACTACAGATGATTGGTGTAACCTGGGAGTGGAGCAGGTCATGCGCTCAGCTCCTAGTATTTCTCCTAAGCATTATTAAAATGCTGGTGGAGTGGGGGGGGTGCTCCCATCGGGCCATCCCGCTATTAAAAATGAATCACAGTAAAGGAATACGTGTTAAGGAATACGGTCAACATATCTGAACAACACTTGATTAAAATGCGGTTAACATCATTCCAGCATTTACAAAAATGTCTCAAGTCACTAGTTTGAAACTAGCTAGTGATTACTAAGAGCTAATAAAGGGCACAAACTTAGTGATTTACAAATAGCTGCTGCAACCCAATCCAGGTGATGATTCTACTGTAGCTGGCTTAATCAGTAAATGAGTTTCCAGCCTCACTGCAGGAGAGATAAATACACATTAGTACTGATTACTAAATGACCTGCAGCTGCGACTGCCAGTGCTACTTCCCACATCACACATGAAGAAATCACAACTAAACATATAGCATCCTCAATTTTGGACTCCACTATGATCGCCAGTTTGGGATTTAAACAAAGTAAAACCAGCTTTAGTATAGGAGTGAAAATTCCATTGGAAAACATTTAATGTGGTATGACGTGTATTGCTGTGTATTGCTGTCATAAATGCCTGTGTGACTGAGCCATTAGGCTGGCAGAGGGTTGAACACCAAATTAGAAATGTTAGCTAATATCTGTCAAATTTGGGGCTGCAGT